TTTTATTTATTTTATTTATTTTATTTATTTTATTTATTTTATTTATTTTATTTATTTTATTTATTTTATTTATTTTATTTATTTTATTTATTTTGTTTATTTATTCCTAGGGTAAGAAGCTGCATTTGCTTCCTATAGGAAGATTTAGAGTTAAAACATTTTTAAAAATAGTAATTCTTTATAGAAGAGGGTTCTTTGCCCCCACAGAGTAGAAAGCACTCTTGCCCACATTTCCTGGCATCCAGAAAATCAGTTGAGAAATCACTAATTAATTTTGTGAGGAAGGAATAGTCCGATCCCTGATAATTTTTTAGCCCAGGAAGTTGAAGATTGCTAGCAGAAACTCAGGAAGGAGAGGGGAGGGGAGGCTGAACTTTAATAGTTTAGCACCAGGATGGCGAACCTATGTCATCCATGCCACAGGTGGCACGTGGAGCCATTACTTAGGGCACATGAGGTGTTGCCCTGTCAGCTCTTGCGCAGCTGATTTCGGCCTTCATTTTCGGCCGTTTTTCACTTTCCGGAGGCATGCACAGGGGAGAGTGCATAGAATTATGGGTGTGGCACATGCACACAACCCCTCTCCCATGCTCCCCATGCTTTTGGCATGCAATGGCAAATAGGTTAGTCATCACTGGTTTAAAAGATGTATGTCAGTGTAGCAGCTGAATGCCTAACTTCAGGTATAGGCAATCCATGTTGCTAAGCAAGACAGTTGTTAGTAAATTTTACCCCATTTTACCACTTTTCTTGCCACCGTTGTTCAGTGAATCATTGCAGTGCATTTAACTTCACAATAAATCTGGCTTCCCCATTGACTTGCCTTGTCAGAAGATTGCAAATTGTGATCACATGACCACAGGGCACTGCAACTATCATAAATACATGCCAGTTGCCAAGCAGTCAAATTTTGATCACATGGTTATGGGGATGCTGCAAAGTCATAATTGTGAAAAACTGGTCATAAGCCACTTTTTTCAGTGCTGTTGTAACTTTGAACAGCCATTAGATAAATTGTTGTAATTCAAGGACTATCGGTATATATCTGAAGTATATATGTATGTATCAGTGGTGGGTTGCAATTTATTTTACTACCGGTTCACTTGTGCACGCTCGATTGCACAACACTTCTGCACATGCGCAGAAAGGTCCAGGCTGCCACTACTAGTTCGCTCGACCCAGGGCAAACCTGTAGCAACCCACCTCTGGTATGTACCATATTTTTCAGAGTATAAGACGCACCAGAGTATAAGACACAGCAAACTTCCCAAAAACGACCTGTTTTTCGTGAAAACGAGCCCGTTTTTTGTAAAAAAAAAAAAAAAGAGGCATGGATAGCCTTTAGGAAGCTTATAGAGTGCCCCTGGGAGCTGGGGGGGGGGGATAAAATTGAGCAAAAAGCAGGCCATTTTTTGCTCATTTCTGCCCTCCCCAGCCCCCAGGAGCTCTCTAAAAGCTTCCTAGAGGCTCTGCATGGCCATTTTTGTGAAGGGGGCGGGGCTTCAGGAGGCAAAAAATGCTGTATTCAGTGTATAAGACACACCCAGATTTTAAGCCTCATTTTTGAGGAAAAAGGGTGCGTCTTATACTCCCAAAAATACGGTATGTATGTATATACTGGGTTTGGGAATGAAATGTCTTTGCAGTCTGTATCTTGCAATGCAGTGGAGACATCCAGAGGCTAGCTAAATAATCCATGTTAGAGGTAACTCAAAGATAACTCTTCTTTTACCTCATAAATCTTGATCCATGGATAGGCCAAAACTGTATTATGTTATGACATCTAAGATTGGTCTGCATCTATCACCTCCATCCTATGGTGATAAAGTCTTCTGTTTTATTGCTTTTTGGATTGAAAAAAAGACATTTATGCCAGTAGCTTCAAGTCTATCTTGTCTCTTAGAACAATATCCTTCCATTCCCTTTCTTTAGACCATGGACAATATTTTTAGGGTTTTTTTCTGCTGAAATATCAAGAAGAAGAATTGTATCTTTATCTCTTACTTCTGGTCCATTTTCTCAGTTATGTTGTGCTACGTTTTATTTGTAGGAAAGAGAAGAGAAGTGTGATTTGGAAAATTATATTTTCTTTTTGAAAAAGCCTAGGCCCTAGGGAAAAGGCTAAATAACCCAGCCTTCCTATTGTACTGCGAATATGTCTAGGCTAATCTTTTCTTTCTCTGTGCCAGGGGTGTCAAACTCCCGCCGTCACATTGTCGTCACGTGAGGTATCGCAACTTTCCCCCCCCTTCACTAAAATGGGGGTGGGCATGGCCAGTGCATGACACATCTGGCCCATGGGCCATAAGTTTGACACCCCTGCTCTATGCACTCTTCAAGATGAATTGCGGAAATTTTACTCAGAAATCAAGCTCTTATTAGAAGGAGTTTGAACTGAAGGTGAACAGAATCTACCCAATGAATTTTTGTCATTCACTTTAAAAGGATAAACCATTGTATTTGCACACTTCGGTAAAGGCTAAAGGAAAATGTTACATTAGAATCCAAGCAGTAGTGGGATTCAATTTTTTTACTATCGGTTCTGTGGCCGTGGCTTTGTGGTCATGTCAGGGGAAGGATACTGCAAAATCCCCATTCCCTCCACACTCCTGGGGGAAGGTTACTGCAAAATCCCCATTCCCTCCCCACCCCACTAATCTGCTTTCCAGATCTGTTCTCCTGTTCAGAGCAACAAAAGATCAGCTGGGAGGCAGAGGGGGTGGGGCTAGCCTATTTGCTGGTTCTCTGAACTACTCAAAATTTCCACTACCGGTTCTCCAGAACCTGTCAGAACTAACTGAATACAATCTCTGAATCTAGGTAAAGAAATCAGAGGAAAATTTTGCAGCATTGTAACTGGAGTTTTGTCTTTCTCTGCAGTTAGTTGTAATAACAATAGAACAATAAGAATAACTCTTCTGTATGCTTAGTTTTCTAAATATTTTCCTTGTCTTTTTTACCCATTTTGTGCTTACAGTATTAAATTGTTGTATTATAATTAATAAATATTACTTTTTATTAGAAACTGCACAAATATTTCCCAATTTCTGAAATTGGGAGGCTTCAAGAAGATTCTTCTAACATTGTGGAATTGATCGGTATGGCTTTTGAGGTAAGAAGCAATGTCTGGTATTTTATGCTGTTACTTCTTGGGATAACCTAATTCTCTTATAATTCCCCATAAATGATTTACTCAGTCGCATTTCATTCTTGCAGTTATTTCTTGCATCAGCTCTTATTCCAGCCAATTCATAAAGTATTTTCAGGCAGAGAGTAATTAGATGATATAAATCAGGGATATAAAAACTACATTCTCAAAAAGGTGGCCCATGGTGTTGTACAATGATTAAAAAATATAGGCTCTTAGTTGCATTCAGAAGGATTTGTGCAGGGATGGGCTTCAAAAATTTTAGCAAGGGGTTCTCTACCCGGTGGCTGGGTGGGTGTGGCCATAGTAGGCGTGGCCTAGTCAGTCTTCTGCACCATGGAGAAGGGTTTGCTCTCCCCTTCCTGAACTTCTGGTAGGCCCGTTTTTTACCTTCCCTGAGTCTCCGCGCACGCCCTGCACTTACCTGCATTCAAAACGGGCCGTGTGGGGACTTCTGGAAGAGGAGGAGTGGGGTGGGTGAAGCCAGCCAGGAGTGGGATTTCGGGGTTCTCTGAACTGCACAGAATCTTAGCTAGAGGTTCTCCCAAACCCCTGCGAACCCCCAGCAGCCCACCCCTGGATTGGTGAGGATTAAAGGACAAAATCTTGCAGATAAATTCCCAGTTTTTAAATAATTAATAATGATTAATAATATTTATAAAGCACCTTAATCTATGCAACTCTGGATAGTTTCTATCAGCAAATGAATATAATATGGCTATCTCCTTCCCTAAAATCAGAACTTCAAATAATAATTAAAAGACAATTACAGAAAGAATATACATGTATACTAAAATATTCTTTTGAAATAAGTTTATATTGAGGATCTTCCTAAATCTATAGAGTGAAGGGACCAATTGTACCTCCAGGGAAGTGTGTTCCATAAAGTGGGGACTACCACTGAGAATATCTTTTTCCTGGTTCAGTCCCATTAACGCAGAGAAGTCCTTCTCTCAATGTGCATACCAAATGGTCAGAATCATGCTTAGCAAGGAATTTCCTGATAAATCCCTGTGCAAAGGTTGGATATTGCTGCTCAACTTCAGTAACTCAAATTAGGAAATCAGTAGCCTGAATCCATTACAGTTCTGTATGTTTTCTTTTCCATTTCTTTCCCAGCGCATTCGTTCCAAGATGAACATTCAAGATTATGATACCCCAAAAGCCATGAAAGTTCACATATCACCAAAAAGTGAACAAATAGAGTCTAGTTCATTCCGTATTGTTCGAGGTGAAGTGGTAAGCTTTCTATTTTGCATTTCTATCTCTTCATGATTTACAATTAAAAACAAACAACAAGAAGAAAACTCTTGATTTTGCAACGGCATTTAGATATTTTGGGCTACAGGGGACTTTTCTGAGCTCGTATATTTGCGTACCTTGTGGCAACAGGGGGGAAACTGGAAGCTAGTGCAGTTCCTGAGCCAGTTTTATTTTTTGAAGCATTTCAAGATTGCACTGCCAAAATTCACTGACAGATTCAAAGTTCAATTTCCTCCCAAATCCCACATATACTAAATATGTGTTTAACTTTCCATTATATCTGGGAGAATTAAAGGGCCACCATGAGTGAGATATTGGCCAGCACTGCTTGGTGTGTTGTGTGGATGTTTGGGTGGGGAATTTTTTGGGTGGGTGGGGGTGTGTTTGGGGATTGTTATGTGGGTTGGGCCTGGTCCCTGAGTGTTATGTGAATTTCGTTGTATGTGTATAATGTGTATATACGTACAATGACAATAAAGTAAGTAACTTAATCAGCAAATTCTACCCCAGAAATCTGAATATTTAAAACAAACAAACAAATGAAGTGTGTCTCCACTAGTGCAACATCATGATATCAGTGCCCATCCCTGTGACTCCCAGCTGCTGAGGATATCCCTGCTCAAAAGAACGTCCTCTGGCTGTAAACAAATTGCACACCTTGAGCTAAACTGAACAAATGAGAACAGTCTGTGTCTCATATCCTCTTAGGTGGAGCCAGTGGTGGGATTCAGCCAGTTCGCACCACTTCGTGAGAACCGGTTGCTAACTTTCTGAGCAGTTTGGTGAACTAGTTGTTGAAAGAAATCATTAGGGCAGAGAACCGGTTGTTAAATTATTTGAATCCCACCACTGGGTTGAGCCATCATGTAACGGATTACAGGGAGGCTTCCTGAAGCCTCCAGAGGGAGAAAAATGCCCCTATAGGCAACCTGGATGTTCAAAAATGGGTTGCCGGTAGAGCTGTTTTTCGCCCTCCAGAGGCTTCAGGAAGCCTCCAGAGGGAGAGAATGGTCCAAGGCGCAAACCGGAAGTCCGTTTCCGAACTTTCGGTTTGTGTGTTAGGTTGTTTTTCGCCCTCCAGAAGCTTCAGGGAAACCTCCAGAAGGCAAGAAATGGTGAAAAATGAAGGCCAAAAACAGCTGAGCAGTGTGCGTATGCATGCTGGAGCTGATAGGGCAATGCCTTGCACACCCTAAGAAATGGCTCTGCATGCCACCTGCGGCACGTGTGCCATAGGTTCGCCGTCACGGAGGTAACCTGTTGATCCCTGGATCCCTATTGAAGATTCTGGATTTGCATTAATTTTTGATAAATTATAAATCAAGTTTATTCAGTAGTAACTGTGGCAGTAAATAAACCCAGTTTCAATGCTATGCCAGTGGGTTTAAAAGTGTTGGTAACTGGCTGTTTAGATCAAGAACAAAGGAAGCAATACAAAGACACATTGAAAGCCCCTTTCAATTCCCTGGAAATTGAGACCACCTCCTGGGAAACCCTGGCACAAGACCGATCGACATGGCGCATGCTGATCCACCAAGGCTGCCAGACATTTGAGGACAGAAGGACAACCATGGCAGAAGAGAAGCGAGCACTCCACAAAGCCAGAGCTGCAAATGCTGCAATAATGGTGCCCACACATGTCTGCCTAACATGTGGCAAAACATTTCATGCCCATATAGGCCTTGCCAGCCACCTGCGGACACACCATGGACAGCCTGCAACCCAATAGATGTCATGGTCCTCCTTGAACACAATGGACGAACATCAATCATCATCCTTAGTATTGTTATTACTCCTGGGAAATCCTGGCACAAGGCCGATCGACATGGGGCACGTTGATCCAACAAGGCTGCCAGACATTTGAAAGTAGAAGGGCAACCATAACACAAGAGAAGCAAGCACTCTGCAAAGCCAGAGCTGCAAATGCTGCAACAATGGTGCCCACACATGTCTGTCCAATCTGAGGCAGAACATTCTGTGTCTGTATAGGCCTTGCCAGCCACCTGGTGAACATCATTTCTCCATCCTAGCTGTACTTGAGAGACTGAGAGGGAAAGCAGCTAGTAAGAATAGTTTTGGAAACTGTACTTCTTGCATCCTCTTTTCAAATTCAAGAGAGGAATTTGATCCATTCATTCAGCTTTTGAACTAATTCAGATGGAAAGAATCTACTAGTTACTTTGGATTTTGATTCCTATTGGTCCTCAATTAGCCGTGCTAAAAATAAAGAGCTCTGCAGTAATAAAACAAACTATCCAGTGGACGTCAGGACCCTCCAATAGATCTGTCTCTAGTCTTTCATTTCTCACATTTGTGGATAAAGTTGCTTCTTTTTTCTAAATGAATCCAGAAAAAAACACAGGTTTCTCTCTTCTCTCCAGACAACTTTCAATGTGAATTTGAAAGCTAAGGATTTTGCTGACAAGCATGTTTGTGATCTCCCAGAGAAGGAACGGAAAGGTATTATCCACATTAAGCCCTCCTCTTTCAGTGACAAAGTAGAGATTGATGCCTCAATTCTCTGCGACACCTGCTCCTGTGAAAAGGTAGGTTGTTGTTTCCTCCTCTTTGATTTGCAGTTCCAAGAATTGTTCTAGACCTGGATACAAGAAATTTAACCCTGGTCTGATCAATTTTTACTAATAGAAATTGTAAGCTTAAAGGATGTTCTGTGTCTAAAATGATCCAGTAATGACTTTTTGCTTGTTTGCAGACTCAGGAGGTTAGATCATCAAAGTGCAATTCCCAGGGAAATTTTGTTTGCGGACAATGTGTGTGCAATCAAGGCTGGCAAGTATTACAATTAGGTTTTTCTTTCAGTGTGGGGCCCATTGTCTTTCCTCTGTCAGAAAGGTTATGCTTTTCTTCTCGAAGAACAAGAAGTAGATGAATTGGAGAAACTGATAGGAGGGTTGATTCTCTTCTTGCCCCTCAAAAAGTTTTTTTTTCATACTAACTGCTATTTAGATCAGCGGTTCTCAACCTGTGGGTCACGACCCCTTTGGGGGTCGAATGACCCTTTCACAGGGGTCGCCTAAGACCATCGGAAAATTGCAAAATTACAGTTATGAAGTAGCAATGAAAATAATTTTATGGTTGGGGGTCACCATAACACGAGGAACTGTATTAAAGAGGCGTGGCATTGGGAAGGTTGAGAACCACTGGCTTTAGATAGTGTCCACATATATATTTACATGTATATATTTACATATTTATATAAACATATAAATCTATGCAATTATATGTTTAATATGTTTAATATGCTTAATATTTATTTTATAATAATCCACATGATTATACACACACACACACAGAGTATATACCTTTTATTTATTCAATTTACATTTTGCGTATTGAACTCTTGGTGGCTCACAACAATTATAAGCAAATTATTATTATTATTATTATTATTATTATTATTATTATTATTATTATTATTATTATTATTATTATTATTATTATTATTATTAT